GGGGGGGGGGGTCTTATTATTTTTGGGGGGGGGGGTCTTATTATTTTTGGGGGGCAGGAAGCACCAAGCATGGTCGCTTCATGGCTGCTTCTGTGTTGCAATATTTTCAGGGAGGGCTTATTTTAGGGAGAGGGTTTATTTTAGTGCATGCGCTCAAAAGCCCGATTGGGCTTATTATCCAGGGAGGTCTTATTTTCAGGGAAACAGGGGGTTTAACATTGGAAAATCAGGTACCAGGCTCGGTACTTGAATTGCCAGGAATAATTTCTTCAGGCAGTATCACGTTTTCATATCACATGTTTTTTTTAAAAATTAAAAAAAAATAGTAAAGAAAATAAAAAACTTTAATCCTTAAGAAATTTTACATAACAGCCCAAATATTTTTTATAAAAGTTAGCTATTATGTAAAATGATATAGTAGTAATATTAATTCTGGATGGATGCGATTAACCCCCAAAATTTTATGAATTGTTTGAAGTAAACCCCAAAAGATCGCAATCCAGCATTTCCTTTGCTTTGATTTCAATAACAGTTATAAAGATATGTTTTTTCACCCATATAAACAGAAGACTAAACTTAGATATTTGAAATTATAAACATTCAGCCCAGCTACTAAGTGCAAATTGAACTGTTTAAATTTGAAAACCAAGAAAAAATGGAGGTTACATGCTAAAGCTGTATGAAAGAGAAGTAACTTGTTTCCAGCTATGTGTGATCTTTTTTCTTAAATGTTTCATTCTAATCTATTTCTATTTTTGCTCAATCATGTGCCTCAATAGGAGGTGGTCAGAGCCACTTACAAATTTCATTTTTAAATTTATTTATGTGTTGTCTTACAAAATGAGAAGTAACCATACCAGCTTTAGCAGAAAAGAGCCAAGGTATAACTTGAGTTGGCACAATATGCCCTATATATATCTTCCTTAGTACTTTTATGTAAACCAAACCATGTTAAATTATAATTAAGATAAACAGGTAACCATTGGCGTTCTGGTGGCATTCAAGTGTTCTCTGCCAATTTACTAGTTTGACAAATGCAACTCTATCCTGCATTGCAGCTGTATTAAGGCTACAATTTTTCAAACTGCATCTGGAGTAATATTGTTTATCTACACACAAACCTCATATAAACTGACAAGGAAAACAGCAGATTGGGGGCTTTGTTACCCGTAAGCAAACTTATCCCTTCAACTGATTTTAGAGAAATGGCCTCCAGGGCAGAACAAGCTCTTCTACTGAGGATATTGAAGACAGAAACTGAAAATTTGTCTTGCCTTGGAGTTCTGCTAGTGTGAGCTTTCTTTGCAGACAGAAAGTTAAATTATGTTATATTTCATAATTTCTAAAGGTGGAAGGAAATAAGATTCCTAATGCAAGCTATCCTAACATTTCTTCATTAAGTGCAGTAAAATACTAGAATAACTTACGATATTGTTTGTGCTATGGCTCCAGCTATGCCACCACACAGCAAATTTACATGAGTTTTCAAAACTAAGACATCAGGATTATCTAAGCAAGGCCTCCCGAGCAGGGTAGGCGCTTGAGCAAGTCCCACACTCTTTAAGGTACCAAAGGTAAAAAATGAGAAACCTGAAAGGAAAAAATTTATCTTTAATGGAAACATTACCAAACTGCATAGATGTTATAGGCACAATTCAGCCAAAGAATCTACTAACAGTAGTGGATGTGCCAAGCTCTGTTCCCTTATATATTGATTAATTTTAAGTCATACATTTTGGTTTGATCATCAAATATGCCATGACATTGTCTCCATTTTTTCAAAATTCGTTTTTATTGATCACTTACAGCTGGCAGTCTTGATATACACCTGATATATTCTGTATATGGATAATAAAATTACTTGAATGTTACAGAATGCTAGAAAGACATAACAATCCTCACAAATGAATGCATTGTGGAAAGTTATCAGAACAATTCCCTTTGAAAAGAATCTTTTTTTAAAGGCTCCTTTCTTTATATAATATTGTCCTTGTCTTTACCATTATCTTGGATATTAAGTTCTTACAATAAAGGGACTTTTGATCTGCATCAAAAGTACTAAAGTCCTAAACATGGCTACAATAAAAATGATTTTTTTAAAAAACAAAAACAATTTGAAATAGCATTTATGATTAAAACCAAAGAAACAGAATAGTCTAAGCAACAGTAAACCAAGGACTTAAGATGCTTACAGAAATGCTGAAAGCATTAACAACTTAGTGCTGAGCTAAACCTCTGGGATTTAATTAGTGTAGATTATTAGCAGAGTTGAAAAAAGAACATATATACATCCCTCAATCATAACAGGGGGTTTGAAATGCAACCCCAAACCAGAATTTCAACATTGAAACTAATTAAAACATACACAGAGGTAGAACTTAATTGAAAATTAACATTTTGTTTATTAGATCTGGGTTGTGACTTCTACTGCAAGTGCAAAAAATGCAGCTAAGAACAACCCAAGTCATATGCCAAGAAAACTACATTGTATTTTGCGAATTCTGAAGATTGTGTCCACATGCATTAAAAAAAAGGAGCATGACGTCCTTTAAGAAAAGAAGAGAGAAGAGAGGAGAAGAGAGGAGAAAAGAATGATATAGTTCCCAGCCAACAGTTTTCAGTCTATCTTTTAGATTAGACAGGATCTTCCCCATTAGTGGTGAGAGAAAGGAGACAAGGAAATATTGAGAAATCATATTTAAGATTAAATAATTTTTGACCAAAGATCAACACCATGTATCAGAATAGCATTACTGAGGCAGATAAAGAGATTAGCCCTGTAAATACCTAGAATCATGGATCTCAAAAAGCAAATAACACGTGTCAGAACTTTATCACATAAATGCTGTGATTTGCTTATTTATGCAAATATTGGGACATAAGTATATAATGGAGGCAACTGTAATGATGACACTACAGAGATCACCATTATGACAACCTCACAGATGCTGCAGAAACTACTGTCTTCAGTAAGGATAAGTAATATATTAAGAATATTGCTAAAAATCAAAGATAAGCATGTAGTTATTTTAAATGTCATTTTTATTTTTAAAAATACAAACATCTACAATTAGTGTCAACAGTAGAAAACGTTTTAGTAGATGACTTTCAATTTATGGAACTGCCCGAATTGAGAGCACGTCCAACAAATGTAAAAATATTGGAAAAGACAACAGAAAGGTAAATCATCATGCTCTATGACCAAATTTCATGTCTAGCAGTGCCTTCCTTTAATTGGTCATGTGCAAAAATATTTGTTTTTTATTTTAAAGGAAACAAAGAAAACAGTTTTCAAATCAAAATTAAACATAAAGGGGTTCAGCAAAAAACAATCATGTTCAACTCACCAGCATATGGAGCCATTCCGACTATTGTTGGCATAAGTCCACGATAAAATCCTTGCATACCACCTTCCTTTGGCAAAAGCCAGAAACAGCAAGAAAACAAAAAAAATAAATAAATGTAGGAGAATTATGCATATGAACACAGGAAACTTTTGAGAAGAAACCTCCAATTTCCATTTTTTCATATACTATATTCCGGGGCTATGCATATTTTTTGAGAGAGATGTCCTACAATGCAGCTTGAATCAGTCACAACTTTTTTCTACAACTCCCTTTGGGTGTCTGCACATTTATGTGTATGCATAGCTACTTCAAAGTAATGAATCCCAGTGATGGTTCATCATTCATAATGTTAAGACTTACTAACTGCAACAGCATAAAGATTTAGGAAAAGAAACAAAGATTTTATTTCATTGCTAGTACCGCAAATCGTTTTGGGTGAAAAATTCTATAATGAAGGACACATTTATTCAAATCTGGTCAGCATTTTTACAAAGCATCACTTTTCTAAGGGGCTACCATTATTTAAACAAATGGATACTAATTTATCAAAAGGGTCTACTTTTCTTAATTAAAAGGACTTGGCAACCTTGCTGTAATTCCAATTTATGAGAGGCACCCCAGTTATGTGCCTATTTCATATACATACAGTATATGAAAATAACAGTGCAGGGAAGAAGAATTCCGTTCCAATCAAGCTTGGGTGGTTTGCAGCTCTTTCTTCTCATCTTCCAAAGTGACCTAGGCTTATGTTATGCTAAAGGAGGGATTTCGAGGCAACGCTTTGCCTTTATGACCAAACTGGGCAGTTGTATTCATTAGCCCAGGCTTTGATTTGGGAGTCAATCCCACCCCGAGTTGCCCAGCTGCTCTGCTACTGCTCACCAGAGAAATGCATGCTCAGATTCCGAGTTGAAGAAAAGTTAAGCTGGTTCTCTTACAGAGCAATGGAGTTTTCACAATTGCATTATTTTTACTTGTTTTCATTTGCCATTTGCTGTTTTTCCAACTGATTTCTTTATACTAGATATTACTGCTTTCTTTTGTAAATTCTGTGAATATGCTCTGTCTTACACACTGGCCAAAAAAATAAAATAAATCAGAATACCAAATATAAACTGGGTGGATACAACCTCGTGGATGACCCTCACTCTGTCAAGGACCTTGGAATACTCATTTCTAATTATCTAAGTGCCAGAGCTCACTGTAATAGCATTATCAAAAAGGCATTTTGTTAACCTAATCTTGTGAAGCTTCTTCTCCAGTAATACTGTATTACAAACTAGGACATATAAAATCTTCGCTAGACCTATTCTCGAATACAGCTGATCTGTCTGGAACCCGCACTGCTTATCAGACATCAATACAATTGAGAGAGTCCAGAGATATTTCACGAGAAGAGTCCTTCACTTCTCTGCTCACAACAGAATACCTTATACCACCAGGCTTGAAATTTCAGGCTTAGACAACTTAGAACTACGCTGCCTTCAGTCTGACCTGAGCATAGTACACAAAATTATCTGCTACAATGTCCTACCTGTCAATGACTACTTCAGCTTCAACCGCAACAATATACAAACTCACAATAGATACAAACTTAACATAAACTGATCCAAACTCGATTGCAGAAAATACGATTTCAGCAACAGAGGGGTCAATGCCTGGAATGTACTACCTGACTCTGTGGTTTCATCCCCAAACCCCCATAATTTTAACCTTATTCTGTCTACTGATGACGATTCTTAAGAGGTCTGTAAGGGGCGTGCATAAGCGCCCCAACGTGCCTAACGTCCCTGTCCTACCGTCCCAAGTTATTCGTATCCATTTCCTGTATTCATAATCATGTTTATACTTATATCTTTTATCTTATACATGCTTGACAAATAAATAAAATCAAATTAAGTATCATAGGTTTTTTTTAAGAACTCCTTTGATTTAGTAGTCAGTCACTGTTTTTCTTTCATTAAAAAATGTACACGTTTCATCATCATGCTCATAAACCACCAATTGGGGATAGGAGAAACATTAAACAGAGGAGCAGCTTTGTTGTTCTTATTTGTTATCCTTATAAACATACAATGAGCTTGCAGATTCATTCTTCTTGCTCAGTTTTCAATTTTCTGCTGAGGACTATCACAGAACATTAACAGGTATTTGTAAAGCCATAACGTTGAAGAAAAGCAAAGACAATTACCTTGGTGTAAATGGTCTTGAATGCATGAATAATTCCCCTGTACGTATGATCTCCTTTGACTTGGAATGCCAGCCGTGCTCTCACCATATCAAGAGGGTACGTACAGATCACTGCTGTTATACCTTCCAAAAATTAATAATTTTAAAAAATCAGCATATATCCAAGTCTAAAAAGGCTTTAAAAATTTGATTTTTATTTCTATTTATTGTAAACATAAGAATGATGGAAATAATACATTAAAATTAAGAAGACAGAGCACATGGATAGTATGTAGAACCTTGAAGGATTAAGTGATTTGGACTGCTCAGAAAATTAACCTCCATGTTGCTCAAATCAGTTTACCTATAAAAGGATGGTAATTTTAAAAGTTGTCTTTCTTAAACATACTTTTTTAAAAAAGCTAGCATAAGGAGGGGGGGAATAGTGTTCAGTACTTTTTTCTCTTTTGCATTTGGTAAGCTTAAATTCTTCTTAAAATGCCTTTGGGGGGGGGTAAGGAAGAACATGTTTTAAATAATTGAAATTAAGCTCCCCCCCACCTATGCTTCAACCTTTTTATTTCCTTAAAGGAAACTGAAAGGCAATTATCTACCAATGAAGTGTTACTACTCAGATTTGAATTACACAAGGCACAGGAAATCCAAAGTTGAAAGTTCACACCATAAAGTTTTACCTTTGCCAATCCCAACAGCCGCATGACAATAGACTTTTCAAGGCATTTTCCTCAGATAATTCTTAAACTCAGTGCCTTCTATTACCTATGTTTGGTCTTGCAAGCACTTACTGTAGAAAGCTAATTTCCAACATTTCTCAACTCCTTTAACGTGCAAAATTATACTAGCACCACAAATCAAATTCATTGCAGAAGGTAAAAAGATATTCAATGGTTTTTTCATTCTCCATACAATACTTGGTGCTCATTGGGTCTTACACTGTACTTACAAATATGGAGTCATCCCACATATTTACTATGTGACATGATATTTACCATTTGTTCTAGATATATTTTGTCATCATTTTATTAGATCAATCACTGCTGTATTGGCAATTAAAATTTCTTTTGCAATAGCTTCCATTTCTAACTCCCTTTTGCTTTTTTCTTATTTCTTTTCCAATCCAGTCCATATACTTCAATAAGCATGAGCACTGTAACTTTTTATAAAACTATTCATTTGTGATAGATTTTCACATGCTGTAAAAAAGTTATTGTGGCCAACAATTTCCATCCAAAATATGGAAGTATAATCACAACGTATGTGGTTCATCTAAAGAATGTTCACACCAATATCGATGAATAGTGTAGATATTTCTCAATTTTTAATACAAGAATTTGTGTACTGAATAAATCACTTGATAGACAAGCTAGGAATAAAAGAGGTATTTTTAATACAACATATTAACAATATGGCAATGAGATACAGGCATGCATCGTGAGCACTATCTTTTTAAACAATCAAACTAGGAATCTAGTTTGATCACTTTAGTAGCTACAGTAATCATAGGTAAAATCTGCTTCAGTACACGCAATCTATCTCTGTTTAGAACATGAACATCTTAACTCAGTTCCGTTTTGTTCTTTGAGCTTCCAAAGGTGTACAAGTAGCCACTAATGAAAACAATTTCATTTTTTATAAAACTACAACTAGTCCTTGAGTTATGACAACAATTGGGATCAGAATTCCCACTGCTAAGCAATGCAGTCATACAGCATAACATCAAGTTATCGCATTGCTTATCAATGGCAATCTGAACTGTCCAACCTGCAGTCATAACCACAGGACCATGAGGGTTGTTAAGCAAGATGTCCCAGGCAAGGAATGCAGGGGAGACTGTTGGTGTCCCGGGCAGGCACTACAGAGAGCTGAAAGGCAGAGGGGTACAGTGGGGCATGCACCGTATGGAGTGTGGGTAGTTGAGAGGTTCTACAGTGTATTAGATTCCTGAATCTTGTGCTGCAAAGCAAAGCTCCTTGAGAGAAAAGCAGTAGGAGCAACTTGCAGGAGTGACATGAAACCACCCCTTATCAGCTTCCCAATGAATTTGCATGTGGGAACCTGACAGGGAAGGTTTGGTGTTCAGGTGACCAAGGGACACTACAGCCATCCTAAGCACAGGTAGTTAATTGTAATCACATTACCACAGCCAGAATTTTGAGTTCCACACATTCAGTAGTGTCCTAAGTTTGAAAGGCCAATGAATTAGTCATAACTTGAAAAATACCTGTCCCCCATTTTCTAGCTGTAGAAAATGGAAAGAAACCAGAAACTCTCAAACCCTAGCATCAGTCTTCAAAACCTTTTACAAGGGCTCCTTTACCTATATTTTGGATGTTTCCAGAGACCTTTTTTTTTTTACTTTTTATCTGATTAAAATGAACTTTAAGGCTGGGTTTTAATTAATTTTAAAAAACACCCACAACTGTAGAAATGATAGAAAAGGATACATACACAGTGAGAGAAAAAGAGAATGAAGATAAAGAAGAGGAATACCTGCTAAGGATCCAGCCAGTAACCGATGAATATGACTAGAAATGCCAAGCCTGCTCTTTATCACCTACAAAATGATTACATTTGAAGTGTGGAAAAAAATATTAGCATACCAAAAATAAAATTCATTACTCCTCACCATATGCCATAATTATTTTTTAAATACAACCATCTTTGTGTTAGCTACTCTAAGGCATAATTTTACTGAAAAGGGGGTGAAGGTCCTGTATACAAGGTTAAGCAATAAATCATGATTACACACTAACAAATCAATTACAAACCAATAGAGCAACAAGCAACAAAACACAGGTTATTTACCTTTTTGTACTGACCAAATGCCGTAAACTGAATTGCACCGTATGGAAAGATTCGAATCATCATTGCTCCATTTCCTTTGTAGTATCCTAAGAAGCCTTCTTTCTTCGGTACAGCGCAAAGTGTAGAAATCACACCTGTCATCATTACAGAGCAGACTAACATGTTACCATTTTCACTTCAGCATTTTAAATTGCTCACTTATGAGAAATATTCTACAAAATCCTGTCATATAACTTGAAAAGAAAAGTAATTTCTAGTGGCTACTGAAATATTTCCTCTTTAATCAATAAGTTTGCACTAAACCCCTTCATGTATTGTTATTTTTAATTAAAGACCAACTTGGCATTCACAAGAAGTTTCATCAAAATTTTGATAAGGCAGATAATCTAATTTAAAAAGTAGAAGAGCAAGGGCAAAATAAGCCTCTCACATCCATATTTTTGGAACATTTTGATTTAATCTTAGAATAAATATCTGTTGTTATTTTAATGGTTTATATTTACTGTTATTCCTGAGCTGTTGTGAACAATAACAGCTGTATAATAAAGTACAGGTAGAAAAATGGATGTAAAAGATTAAAAGTACACCCCATAAATCATAACTAAACTAAAACAGATCCAAAGCATTAAAAGACTGAACACTATTGTTATGTTTCTATTTTATGTGTTTGTGTTTTCACTATTTTTGATTATTTCAAATCTATTATGTATTCAAAGTTCCAACCAATATATTTAAAAAATCATTTGTACTTATTCAAAAACCAGAGAAAGAACTTAATCATAATTTTTGTACCAATATAGCTTTCAATTTAGAATTTAGCTTTAAAATGTTAAAGGTCTGAACACATTAATAACCAGCAGTCGACACTCTTGACTTGAAGGGACCAATTGATATATTTAATTATTGTAATTACACAAATAAATTGAAGAGATCTATTTTCTTTACCAATTATAAAAATGACACATTATAAGCAATATTAGATCCTATAATTTGATTTTTCTTACCTAGATGTTTATAATGACGATTGTGAGCTTGCAACAAAATCTTTACTCGATCTAATGGTGCAATGGTTGACTTGGCACAACATCCAGCAACACCTTTCCAACAAGCAAAAATAGTACCATTTACTAATTGCCAGGAATTTAGCAAGAGTTATTTTTAAACTTTTATCTTTTCAAGGTTCATCCTGCAATAGGTAACCATTACTTTGTCAGTCAACAGTTATAATCTCTGCTAAAAAAAAATACTGTTATTTCTCAATTTCTGATCAAATAGAAGGTACACGGAGAAAAGTATGAAATTGTCAAAAACGCATTTAGTGTATCTAAAATCTAAAAGCATCTTTCATAGACAATCATTTTCTAAAGATGTCTATGGAGATTATCATTCCTGCAGACCATGGTTCTGGCCAGAATTGATAAACCTTCTTGGATGAGAAGTGAAACATTTACAGGGAAAAAACCAAGGAAGTCCCATTGCCTTTTGAAAAGCACCTTTGGGGAAGTTTTCTAAAGAAATATTAGTTATTAAGAGTTGGGCAGCATACAGATTTAATAAATTATGACTACCAGAAAATATGAGAATTTTACATCTAACATCTTGTATTTAACATTTAAGAGTTTCATTCAGGAAATTCCTAATTTAAGTTTCACTTCAATCTAGTAAATCAGTCATCATCTTTCACATCTATTTTTAACAATTTATTTACTCTATAGAAAGCAAATCTGCAGTGCTATTTAAAAAATCACAGGCAAGTTTTGCTAACAAAGCTGTTAGAAGTGAAGAAGCAAAGGAGGAGGGGGGACCTTTAACAATCCTAGAGCCTTTACTAGCTTTATAGTAAAAAAAAAATCCTCAGTTTACCATCCTGCATTTGTAAAGCAAGTACACAAGTAGCCTGCCTAATAGGTGTGTTATTACAGTTCTTTGGGAACACAGCCACACAGCATTGCTAAACATAGTAAATACTAAAACAGCTATTAGCTGAATCTGTCAGCTGTGTAGAAAACCTTGAGAATCAGTTGCTTAAAGCTATAAAATCCTATAATTCATGAACTCTTATGACCTGACAGCCCTCCCTGAATTACAGTACTCAGGAGTGTCTTACTCGTTTTCTTTTGGAAAAAAAAAACGTACAAAGATGTATCATCTGTATTTTTGCTGATCTAGACAGGAAGCAATTACAGGAGCTGGAATGTTTTCTAGGATTTCATGTCTGCTCTTATTTTTGTAATAAGATTTTGGAACTGCCTGCGCATCCCTTAAAAAAAAAACAAAATAAAATATTTGGACATATAAGAACCAATTCAGTTAGTGGTTAAGGTGCTGTCTAAAAACCAGGGAAATGTAAGTTCTAGGCCTCCATTAGGTATGAAAGACAACTGGGTGTCTATTGGCCAGATTTTCTCTGTTGGTCAGGACTACCAGACAGGGCTGTTGTTGCAGGAAAATAGAAGGCATGAGTATGTTCGCCAGCTTGAGTCATATATGAAAAATAATAAACTATAAATATATAAAATGAGAAAGCAAGCTTTTATGGAACTCCTGTTTCAAACAACCATATAACACAGCAATAAAATTTTTTTTCTTGCAACACAGAATTATTTTTGGCTAAATCTCAGGGCTGTACTTCCCCCCACCCCCCAAAAAAACCCAAGGAAGGACCTAATGGCAAGCCACTTCTGAATCACCTTGCCAACAAAACTGCAGAGACTTAGCCAACCAGTCAATACTGATTTGAAGGGACAAAAACCAGAGAGATACAAAACCTAGGTAAAAATTCATCATTTTGTAAGATGCTTTTCAGCTGTAATAACTCCCCAGTACCAATCATATTGATATGTTGTTAGCTATTGCTAAACCCGGAGAATGGACACCCTACTTCATTGCCCGTTGACATTTTTCTCCCCCATTTTTCGGCCGAGGAAAAAGGCAGACGGGACAGATAACTCAATGCAGGGTTTTATATATATTGGGGCGGGGGAGCAAAGATACCGATTCCAAACCCCATTTCAGACGACGGGGAGGGAAAGGGCAGATTCTAGAGAGCAGCCCCACGGAGCACTTCCTAAAAAATAAGCAAAGCCAGTCCCAGCAGCGGCCCTGAAATTTAGCCACGGGGGCTTTTTAAATTTAAAAAAAAATTTTTTTTTTAAGATGTAAGAGTCTGAAGCCATTTCTGAGCCGGGAGACTTCAAGGGCCAAGACAGCTCGTGGCCGCGAAGAGGAAGCGCCTTGCGAGCCGCACCTGGCTCCCACCGCCGGCTTCCTCTCCGGACTCACCTCCTGCCAGCAAGGAGCGCAGCCAGTAGAAATCTCGCTGGGTGGGCGACGAGGGCAACCGGGCGCCGGGTCCCGCGGCGGCGGTGGCTTCCGTGGCCATGAAGCCGATAGTTGGCTGGCCTTTCCGAACACCAATGGTAGGAGGTGGTGGCGGCGGCGGCGGCGGTGGTAGCAGCAGCAGGAGCGCAGCTTCAGCCCATGCTAGTGCCTCCAGCAGCACATGAGGCCGGACGGGCCGGGCCTCTCCGCCCAGCGAACCCGGGAGGCGGAGCCACCGCCGCCGCCGAGTTTCTTCGGCCCGTGGCGCCCGCTGATGACGTCACGGGCTCGCTGATTCTGCAGCCAACCTACAAAGCGGCGTTTCTCGACCGTGGCTACTGCAAGGCGGGTGGGTGGATCCAATGCTACAGCCTTGGCCCAAATTGTGGCAACTTTGGGGGAAAGTATTTTTGAGGTTTGATAGCTAATAACTCCACTTGGGGGGGGGGGTTTGGAAGAAATGTCCTTCTGGGTTCAGTTGCAAGTGGGGAAAAAGACACTGGAAACATGGAGGCTGCTTGGAAAGATGGTTTTAATGGTGGACAGGATCACATGGCTTGAGCTCCTGAACAGAAAAGGGGGATCACGTGCTTCCAGATATTCGGTGAAGATGAAAAGAGGCAGAGATGCTG